GCTTTTTAGAAAATGCACATATACTTTGAGCCAGCAATTCCACTTCTAGACATCATCACCTAAGACATGGATAAGGATGTCCTTTGCAACACTGTTTCTAATAGCAAAAATTTAGAAACACTGGAAAGGCTCATCATAGGGAACTGGATAAATAAAAGTTGCTACATTCATCTAATGGAAAGCTATGCAGCTTTCAAAAATAACATAGAAATATGGTTTGCTCATTTGGAACAGTCTCCGAAATATATTGTATTTTAAGTGAAGAAAGTAATGTACAAAACTGTATACATAGTATGCATCTAATTATGAAAAAATGGGTATATATTCATTCTTTTGATAAGTATTTACTGAGTGTCCTAGGCATTACAGATAAGGGAGTCAACAAAACATCAAAGACTGCTCTCCTGGAGCTTCTATTATGGTGGGTCAAGAAAGGCAATTACCAAACACATATGTAAAATGGTGATACGTGCTATGGTGTAAGTAGAGCATGAAAAAGGAGATACAGCATAGTATGTTTTAGATAGAGTAACAAGGAAGGAGTTCACTAGGCAGAGAACAGAGAGTGCTAAGAGGCAATAATGTGAAAAAGCTTAGCCAAGTCCAGGTTCGGGAATCCAGTTGCAGGTTAGTGATAAATTCACACGACGCCATTGCTCCTGTGCAGTAAATTCATGACATTTAATGTCTAAACCACGTGATTTCTCTCTGCATTACATCAGTTCTTCCTGTGAGAAGGAACCAAGGAGCAATGTGACAGGAGATGCTCATTCTGTGCACTTTGTGGCTGAGTAACTAATTGTCTAGAGTAGCTAATTAGCAGAATGGTAGACAAAACCACTGTGTCTTCATCCTTAAGTCATGCCTCACTCAGCCAGGCTTCCCCAAGATCAAGGGAGAATGCTAAATATCTATTTAATAGAAACTTGGCCCCCTCTCTGAGGCAGCCCGTCCCTGGTGTGGACCTTATCCTCTCTGCAGACATTTCTCATGGATAGTTCTGTTGACCTTGTCTCTTGTGCCTCCCAGGCAATTAAACATTCTCAGCCAGCTCTACCTTGATTGTTCAATGACTTTGTCCTCTTCTCATTGACTTCACTGTAGTGGAAGGCTAAATCTAGGCACTGGCTCTCCTATCTCCTAGGCCTTTCCATGTAGACAGACTTGTTATCACTAACAGACTGTGCTTACAAGACAGACACAGAAAAGCAGAAGAATGGAAATGGGGGTTGGAGGTATTAAAAACAAACAAAGAAACTGTCCCACTTAAGATGAAGCGCAGAAGGCGAATAGTGGGCCTTAATGACCAAGGATATGGACTTAGCCTCAAGAAAATTGCACAAGTAGAATGAATGCCATGGTCTCTGAGGAAGAGGCAATGGAAATGTAGTTCTGAGGCAGCGAAGGTCAGTAGAAAGCCCTCTGAGATATTTACTAAAGAGATAAATGATCATCTGTTAGTTCAAAGGTTGGAAACTCAGGTGTCTACAGGGACCAGGCACGTAAGTGGAAACGGATAAGAGGCTAAGTGGGGGCAGTAAAGATCTCAGGCACACAGACCCAAGGGGAGAGGCTGCTACTAGGTTAGTGTTTATGATCGACCAGCTGAAATATGGACTTAGCACTGCTAGATCTTCTGATTTTTCAAAAGAAGTTAGAGATCTGGGATTTAATGTAAAGACTAATTTTTAACTTGGAGTAGCTTATTCCAACATATTTATGCAACTTATTCAAATGTATTTAAAACTTGTCTGATCTCTCCTTTGTATTTTTAATGCACTGGCTTTCTCCTCTAGCCTAGTCTTAGGGGTAGTCTTAAGGCATGTGAGTATACTTATTATATCTATATAGATGAAGGATCATTCCCCTCCCCCACCCAAAACGCACTAAGGATTAAGCGTGGCACAGAGTTAGGCTTTTGAGAATCTGTCTTGGGTAGGAAATTTGGATGCAGAAGACCCATTCCTGGGTCAGGATCATACCTTCTTTGGTTTTGTTGCGGGATTTGACACTCTAGATATTGACAAACATCAGATATTATTGGGTCATGGTAAATATTCAACTGGATCAATTCAAAAGTATTTCAGGTGCTAATTAGCCCTACTTGCCCATATTCATAAGGGATTGTTGGCACATCACTTCAAAATGTGTTTCTGAATAGGAAATGGAGGCATTGGTTATGCAATTTGGTCTATGAATATTCCTCAAGGGTCTACTCTGAACCTGGTACTGTAGAAATATTGTGAATAAGTTGAATAAGATACTAACGCTGCCTTCCATAGCCTACTATTCTACAGAGGAGATAAAACATATTTACAAATCATGATTCAACATACATAGCAATAAGTTATAGGGTAATTTGTTATAAGCATGAAGTTGTGCATTGCTGCTATAGCGGTAACCCAGGTTGTAATTCTCAAATCCAAGAGCTTCAATTACTTTTCTTTTTACTATTAGTGAAAGGAATCCAGGATTATGACATCTATAGAAAGCTTGAATTAGTGATTTCAATAATAAATATTGTATCACTGAGCTATACTTTATATGCATTATTTTATCACTTCTCACAATCACTTCAATAATTAAGTACTAATTTTCAGTACTAAATAGCTACAGAAAATGAGGTTTAGACAGATATAGTAATTTACCCAAAATCACAGAATGTAAGTAGAGAATGTAGAACTTGCATTAAGGGCTATTTGATAGTAAAGCCCAGACTTTTAAAATTATGCTTATAAAGATTTCCTGAAAAAAAGAAAAAGACAAGAGAAAAATAGAGAACAATTTTTTTCTTACAGGAAAGTAGAAAGTTATTGTTTAAAAGTATAATTAAAGAAAGGTTTCCTGTTTGAATTCAGTTAATACTCATGGAATGCATTTCCTTTAATAGAGTTTTATCATACAACCCACATTTCATTTTGGCTGTGCAATTGATATCTTTATTTTTCCCTGAAATATTATAATAGCATTGAGATATAGGTATATACTTCCTGCTTGTTGTGCTATCTTATAAGAAATCCAGAAATGTAGCAATACTATGGCATTTCTCAGTGTTTAACAAAGTCTATTAGGATACCTTGGTAATTATATGATAAATAATAAACTCAGTTATCAAGATTAATTTAGGATTGTCAACTATATGCTTTTCATTGTGAATCATCAATTGGCCTATAGATGGAAAACATAGCCTATGATGTTTTAGGTTAAAAATGCTCTTCTGGAAATATCTAGAATGATAGAATTTTATGATTTTGTTTTAAAAAGGTTCTAACCCTTATTCAAGATTTATAAAATAAAGAAATCAAATGCAGAATAATATTAAGGAAAAAGAAATAGTTGTCATAAATTATGAAATTGAACTTGAGCACAAATTGGACTTGGATTCTTACAGCACTTTCTTCTTTTCAGTCTAGGCTTCCTAAATAATACAGTTCAGTAATTTTCTAAGTCAGGTTCTAAGGAAGTTATTCAGGGTTTCAACTCAAATATGTGTCAGTTAGGAAGTCTTCAGCTGTAAGTAACAAAAAGCCCTGATTTTATTGTGTTTAAATACTAAAGAGATTTATTATCTCAAATGAAAAGAAGTTCAAAGGCATGTCCCCCTCTAGGTCTAATGCTTGAGGTCTTAAGCTTTGTCCTTTCTGATTCCTTTTCAGCTTCATTCCCAGAGGCTATCTCACATGCTCACAGATGCAAGATCCCTGCAACAGTTTCAGGAGAAATATCCTATTGTGATAATGTCCAATGAAGAAGAGCAACCATCTCTTCCTTTTTTGCATTCTTAAGATTAATCTATCCTTCTAAGGAGTACCTCCTAGGAGCAGAAATCCCCTCACATGTCATTGGCCAAGATTGTATCATATGCCATTCCGAAACCAATCATTGGCAAAGGGAATGGGACCACTATGATTGACTTAGGACATCGGGATCTTCCTCTTGGGCTGGAGTTTGACCTCTAAACTATACGGCTGTGTGAAGGACAAAAGTCATGAGAATGGAACCAGAGTTTTGTTAGAAAGGAGAAAGAGGAACAGCTTATGGGAGGCTAACCAACAATGGCTATTATAGCATAGTGCTAAATGTCACTGGGAAGGCATGACCATGGGTACCAAATACACTTCTGCCATTCTTCTAAGTGTTGGCTCTTTGATTTCTAGATGGTCCTCAATGCTGGTACTTATCCTCCTCATAATTATAGCTTCATAGAAATTGGAGCTGGAAGGGACCATTCTGAGAACCAGATTGTTCAATGTCTTCCCCAAAGTCATGCAACAGGTTAATGGCAAGCCAGAGAAGAGTTTCTTGGCTCTCAGTACAGCATATTTTCTTTCATTCTTTCTTCTTGAGACTTTAGAACTCTTGGAACTGCTTTAAAACTCATGGCAAGCACCGGTCACTTTTGTAATTAACAGCTCCTTATAATACATTTGTTTGTTCAGCCAGCTAGAAACCAAATGCAGTCTGTGCTTTAAAAAGCCTGCTGAGGTCCTTATTTTCTGTTTTGATACCATGTGAATGAACCACCAATGGGTTCCTTTTCCCCTCAGAGTTGATGCAGATTTCTTTCCTTCAACATGTCTCTCTATTGCTCCCCATCTCCTCTTGCTCCATCTGCAACCAGCTTTCTGTTTCTAAATAGACTTCGTGGTCACCCCTTTCTCTTTGTGTCAGTTCCTAGCCACTGGTTACTTAGGCTGCGGTCTCTATTGTTCTTCTTATGGCCTACTCAGTTGTGGTTGTCACACACATCCACGTTGTTATATGTCCCAAATTGGGTTCTGGAATTATTTTGGTAACTTCTGCACTGGGTGAGATTCAAGCTAATAATTAAAGTATTGAGACAACTTCTCGTATTACAGGTTCCCTCCTGTGTTTACAATCCAAGAGGAGCTGCTTCTTGTACTCTTAGTATATACAACACACACATAGCATGTGATTTATGGCCTGCTGCAAACCTGAATGCTTGTGATTTATTATTTTGTGTTTCTCTTCATTTCTAGGACAAGATGTTGATAAATATAAAGAGCATCTTATGGATGTGCTCAACCTTAATAGCAACCCATGCACTACATAAAGGTGAGTGTGGTAACAATTTCTTTGTTGTTAATTGAAATAAAAATTTAAGTACCAGAGGACGGAATGACAATATGGAATTGCTAGGATAAAAGATTGATTTTTTTTTATCCATTCAGTGTTGAAAACTATTAGATAAAATATTATTAGGCTGAAAACAGTGGTTTTAAATAGGTAAGTCAAAACAAAATAACAAGCAGTTTGCTAAAGACGCAAGTGGGCTTTCAGTAACTTCCCAGGGTACTTTCAGTTGTGCAGAAAGGCTCATATGTGGCATTGGGCACATTTTAAAATTTTAACTTCTTTAATAGTATTTCTCAAAGACTTTCTTATACAAAAAAGAAGATTGCTAAACACCCAGGAAACTAGAGTTTGGAAAGAGTCAAGAAGATAAAGTTGACAGCCAAGTTTTTGCACCATCTCCCTTTCTTTTCTTTGCTTCTTATAAAAAGTAACTGGGCATGCACATGCACTGTTTTTTCTAGCTTAAATTTTACTCCCACCTAATAAGGTTTCCTGAATTCCAAGTTCATTATTTAATATATTCAAGGAGATATGAAAGAATTTGAAGAAAGACACTGTCCTGAGTTTCACTGATCTACTTCTGTCCAGTGCACCCTTCACACTCAGATTCCATTTCTTCCTCATGCTCACATTGTGCTTCAGACTCTCTGAAATAATTTACACATGCACAGATTCCATCTTTTCTGGTTTTCCCTATAGATTCCTCTAGCTTGGCACTCCTGTTATTTCCTACAATTCTACTTCAATTCACTCTTCGAGACTCAAAGTTTAAGTATCACTTCATCTATAATCCATTTATTCATTTACCCTCCATCCATTTTCCCATCCACTCATTCATTTATTCACCCATGGACAATATTTTTTGAATATTTTCTTTGCGTCAAATATTATTCTGAGTATCCAAGGGTATACAAGTGGATGAGTCATACATTGTCCTAGTTTTCATTAAACTCAATCCCCTAATTGTAAGAAACAGGAAATAAACAAGTAAACAGAAAATAGAGGTACTTTCAGATTGATGGACATAAAGCCGAGTAACATCCTCAAGAGTGGCCTGGGTTGGGGGAAGTTGGTAAGGCATCTTTGAGAAAGCAACATTTAAACTGAGATGTGAATGATGAGGAGCAAGCCAGCGGCCAAGATCTAGCCCTAAGTTAGGAAAAAAACATAGTGTATTTGAGCAGCAGGTCACTGTAGTTGAAAAGTAGCGATAAAAAGGAAAGTAGGAGACATGGGCACAGAGAGGAGCAGAAACCAGTTCATCCAAATAATAACAACATCTAACACTTGGATAGGACTCCCTACAAGCCAGGAACTCTATTAAGTGAGTAACACTAACTCACTGAAACATCCATTACCCATGTATTATATAGAGGAAACTGAGGCACCAAGAGGCTACGTACTTGCTCAAAGTCCCACATCCAGTAAGCAGCAGAGCTGGGGGATGAACCAAGGCAGTCACAGGAGTGTGTGCTCTTCACCACCGTTTTACATTTCTTATCTACATAGGGCACAGTAGGCTTTGGAAAAGACTAGATTTTATTTCAAGTGCAGGAGGAAGCACTGATGGGTTTCAACAAGTGAAAGATATAAGTTGATGAATTTTTGAAAATTCTATTTAAGCAGCTCTAGGCAGATTTGATTGTAGGAGAGCGAGAGTAGCAGCAGGGATATCACTTAGAAGGTTATTGCAGTCGCCTATGCATGAAATGGGGCAGCTTCTATCAGGTACTGGCAGTGGGGATGGAGGATTCAGACCCCTAATGGATTGGATTCCTGAAAGCCTGAGGGGAATCAAGGGTGAGCTGACTCCTGGGATAGCTGTCCTTTCCTTCCCGGCCTCCTCATTCCCCTTTCTAGCTACTTAAAAAGCCCCTCCTCCATGTTCCCCTTCCCCCCTGTGCTGGTACAGTTATTACAGCACATACTATGCTCTTATGATATGTTATTCTTTGTTTTTGCTCCCAAGCAGACTGCACATTGCAAAAGGGCCTTTCGCCTTCTAGCACAGTGGCTGTCACACTGCCAGCACACAATCATTTTATGCATTGACTGAATGAGTGAATGAATGGATGCCACAGTGGATGACCCAGATGGCTCTTAGAGTCTAGGCTCCATCAGTCAGATAATAACCCAAAAGCTGTCTTCCTCAAAGTTTTCAGAAAGTGAAAGTGAAGGTCCCAGAGAGGCAAGGACAACAGTGCCCAGGGAAGTATGTAGAAAACAACATGGAAAGAGGAGTTGGTTTGGGTAGTCGGCACAGGAAGGGGAATTACAGAGAAAGCAGTAGGCAACCATCCTTCCACTGAAGTTTAGATTTTCCACTCAAGACAAAGAAAGAACCCATGCAATGAAAAACAAAACAAAATAAAACAACTTATGGTGTAGCTCCTCTACAGCATTTTTAAGAATAATCATAAAAGCCAACAAAATTGAGTAATTTCTGTACCCATTTTTTTTAAATCCATGATCACCATTGAAAGTTAATTAATTTGGGGCTAATTTTAGGAGAATTTTATTTTTTCATGTGAGAGATAAAAGTAGAAAACATAAGACCCACATAAAACAGATCTACAAGGTTCATAGAAAGACATACAACAGTAGCATATTGAATCAACACAAGTACTTTTATCTTAAGATTTTCTGTTTATTCCCAGACATTTAAGAGGTTAATGACTAACATAAATGAACATCTTGTCTACTGTTACTGGCTTTATTTTAACACACCAAGAGTTCTTGGCTTTAACGATACCCATTGTATTAGGTTATAAACTATCCTAATCATTGATTATCTAGAATTGACCTAGTTATTTTGATATTCCTCCACTAGTAGAAAATGGAGTCATGCACAGTCATGAGTAAATGAATGAAGTAGTTGGTGATATTTATCACTTTAGTGAGAAATGAATTCCCATATTCTCAATCTCACATTTATGTGGCCAAGGTCTATGTGTATGTTTGGTCAAATTGTGCAGATGGGATTTACATCATGCTTAGTCTGCAGAATCTACTGACAAAGAATGAGGAGTAATTGTTCATTCATTATTTAGAGCTTTCTCCTGTACTTTACTCGTTTAGACTATAAACCATCTGGTGGGAACAGGGAACTTTTTGTTAGGATTCATTTTTATTACTTACATTGTCAGAGATTCAAACAAGTTCCTGTAGGTAGCAGATTTTTTTAAAGCATGCATAGTCTATAAACACTGTACTCTGAACTACTAAATTTCTTTGTTAAAATATTTACATTTAGTGAACTTAGTTTTTGTGACCAAGTACATTAAGACCCAAGATTTGATACACAAAAGATGTGACCACACAGCTCTCTGTTAATCCTGTTGTTAATATTGAGTTCTACATGAATATATATTTATATCCAATCAAAGCTTTTAATTTTCTTGTACCTATAAACACCCAGGACAATAAATAGCCTTTAGGAAATTGCCTTTTGACATTATTTTGTTCTAATGTATCTTTTTGTTATAGCACAGTTACTTAGCAATGCTCTAAGTTTTCAGAAACTTAGTTTCTATCTATTAGATTGGGCTGAATTTCATGTCTGCCCGTATACACTTAAAATTGTGAAAAGAACTATAATTTGGTAATGTATGTTAAAGATTTTAAAGTAATTTATCCTAAACTAATTTTAAGGAGATTATAACGAGTTTCATAACTTAAAACATAATTGAAGTTGATAAAAATGTTTGTTTTTCCATTAAAAAGCAACATTTTATTTGTGGCAAAGTTAATCATCTAAATAATTCTTCAATAAGGAAGATGAAATTTTCTAGAACATATGATGAATGTAAATTTGGAGATTTTTAGATCACAAAATTCTCATACTTTATGTTATTAAAACCCTTACCCTTTGCAAAAAAAAAAAAAAAAAAAAACAATTCCAGATATCTTTGTGATGTCAACATTTCCCTAATTGAGTCCAGATTAAAAGAATATGAAACAGGTAGGGGTTACTTTCAGGGAGTCCCCTGCAAACTTTATGGATTTATTAAAAAGATCATAAAATTACTAAAAAGTTTCAATTCAGATAGTGATTAAAGAATTATAGAAATAGGATGGGTCTAGAGTAGACTCTGAATGGGAACGAAAATGAAGACTTTTGCAACTTAATTTAGGGGCAGAGGAAGAACACCAAAGCTAAATGATTCCTTGATTAGGTGTCAGGAGACATGTGTTCTGGTTCAGGTCTGTCAGCAGCCAGCTGGGAGCTTGTTCTTTCCTCTCAGTGGAGCGTCCTTAGTAAGGAATTGGACCAGTTTTACTCGAAGGGTGAGCATTAAGTTAGAGAATTTATTTTATAAGCCAAGGAGGCCATTAAAAAATGGAATTATTCCCTTGCTATTATATTCCAAAATTCTAATAGTCTTCGTAACATTTTAAAGATTAATTTAATGCAGCTAATACAGACTTCAATTTATTTTTATTTAATTTTATTAAGTCCCTTAAATCTGTTTTGGATGAGCTATATGTAGATTAATAAAATGATAAACAAATGCATGACAGCAATAACCATCATAAATTTAAAATAGATTAGTGATTTCTATAGTAAGTACACTAAATAGAATACTCTATTAATTATTTTAGATTATTTGTATCATATAAAAGATTTTATAGGCCCATCCTTTTTAAGTTAAAATTTCAATCTTTAGCAATAGAGAATTTTTTTCTTAAAGAGTATACTATCTCCATAATATTTTCCTACAATTTGCAAAATGACTTATTCCAATGTTATCAATATCTATATCAATGTTACATTGATATCTATGTCATTTCTGATGCATGTCCATATTGAGATATATGTTACCAAATACCTTTGACCACTAACACAATAAGTGTTAGATACACACCATTTTGTTAATTAAAAATCATTATTTCGCTTCACTTAGAGGCTGCTATTAACTCGTTAACCATATTCTCATGAAGTGGGTGTTGCTTGTGCATTAACGACAATTTCTTTTCTTACCAACACATTGTCTAGCCTAATAACAGAGTCTGGAAAGTAGGGAGGTGGGGGTGGGGAGGGAGATGGTTTCCTATAAGAGTGAAAAGAACATTTTCTTTTGCATGTAATGGTGTTAAATTATAGTCAATGTATTCTTTATCATTAAAAATTTAAAGGCTTAAACAGAAAGACATTCTGCAGGTAAATATTTTAGGAGGGTTAGATGAACAGAAGCCAACTTTCCCCCCCGGCATATGATTGAGAGGTAACATTTCACTGCAAAGTGATTGCAGCTGGATTTGTCCTTATGATGAAAGCCTTTGGTTCAAACATGGACTTAAGAGGGTCCTTCGAATGTTAGACTTTTCCTTGTGCCCGTCCTGTAAAGTACTTTATTAAAATTCTCACTGCCCCTTTGCATTTTATTTTCATTTCCTCTAAGATAATATGGCAATTATCTTTAAAAAATTTTTTGTCTTCTGACCTGTAGACATAATTTTCACCTTTCAAATGCTCTTCCTAAGATTGGCCCAATCTTTTAAACCTTTGCTACTGATTCTACCCACCTTCGTCTTTTGCCCTTGGTTGATTTTCTTCTTATACTTGTCTTATTTTATTGCTTATTTTTTTCATGTTAAAGACTAAGTTGCAAATATTTTAAAATGAATGCCATATTTCAGTACATAAAAATGAGTCTTATTAATCCCTGTCTTTGTTATAAAACATCACTGAAATTATATGCTAGTCTCTTTACACAGGGTCATTCTAATGATTTCACATATTGAAGATGCAACCAAACCATTATAAAGGTTTCTCACACATTCACATATTTAGTAGACTCAATTTGGGTTTTTTAGGACTGTTAATCTGCTATTTTCTCTTTCCTTCAGTCAAAGTGGAAAAAAGCCCACCTGTTAAGGGCGCCCTCTCTGGCAAAGTCAGCCTACCTTGTCATTTTTCAACCATGCCTACTTTGCCACCCAGTTACAACACCAGCGAATTTCTCCGAATCAAATGGTCTAAGATCGAAGTGGACAAAAATGGAAAGGATTTAAAGGAGACAACTGTCCTTGTGGCCCAAAATGGAAATATCAAGATCGGTCAGGGCTACAAAGGGAGAGTGTCCGTCCCCACGCACCCTGAGGATGTGGGCGATGCCTCCCTCACCATGGTCAAACTGCGCGCAAGTGACGCGGGCCTGTACCGCTGCGACGTCATGTACGGGATTGAAGACACGCAAGACTCGGTGTCACTGGCCGTGGATGGTAAGGCTTTCAGAATCCACAAGAAGGTGGTACGATATAACTGGTTCAGAAGCGTTGTGAAATGGTACTCAAAAGTAACTGTTGTTCGTGGTTTGGACAAGGGGGAAAAATACCCATCAATCCAATAGTCTATGCCTCTCACCAAAGATGAACTGTTATTTCTTCAGAGGTCAAGACAGGTGACTTTTTGCGAACTTCATTCATTCCACGTAGTAATGTAGAATATACTGAAAATAATGAATACTTCGAGACATGGTACATAGTTCAATGACCTTTACTCAGTGTTGAGACCTATCAATGATTATTTTTCAAGACTGTAAAGGCTGATATACCGTTTGTTTTAATTTTTTCATATGTGTGTATGCACACATATGAAAGATGTGTGCATACATGCATATACATATATATACACACAAAAACTTTTCCCCCTTTTTCTCACTGTCTCAGTACGATTATTAAAATCTTTGAGTTTGCTTTTAAGAAATATAAATTCTATCTTAACTTACATTGAAGAAATACTGTACTTAATAAAAACCATGGTACAGATCACAGTGTATTAAAAAAGCTAAAACTTAATAAATATTTGAATCAGATCAAAACAAGAACTTCATAAAGTTTTTTAAGGGTAATATACTAGTTGTTTGTTATCCATTAAATCTTGCAATGAGACATTTTAGTTTTACCCTCCTTTCAGTGGTGGTTTATATGTCATTTGAGTTTAAGTTAGGAGACAAAGCAAAGAAAAATTGCTTTAATTGGGTACACACATAATGCCATAGCTCTTGGAAGCATAATATTTTGGCAAGTTATTAAGCAAAATTCTAATACCCAGACATGATGGAACAGATTTTCTTCCAACTCTCCATTTCCCTATAAAATATTTACCTTTCAGAAAAATATATAAAGGGTTTTATTAAAACTCTTTCTTGTGTAGCCAAAAGGAAATATTCTGAATTTCAGATGCAACAAATTCATTTTCTGAACACACTTTTACATTCATGTGTTATTGCTCCCTTCTATAAATCTATTTTTATGTTGTCCAGGCATCCACTAAATATCCTGGGCTCTTCTAATCTCATCATTATTTTATTTAGCCTCAGATGGTACTACTGTGATTTCTCTCTCTCTCTCTCTTTTGTTTATATATCACTTTTTTTAAATCCCCAAAGGAGTTTAAAAACTTCTTACAATTTTTCATCATTAAAGAATTAGCAATGGATTTGCCCCTTGCCCCTCTGAAACAATGAAAATCCTCCACTTAATCTCCTTAGCTCCATGGGGTCTTCAAATTATTCCAGCAATCGGAGATACTTACACAGATTGAAGTTCCCTGCCTTGGTTGAGGAGGCCCCTTTGTGCCTCCTTACACCAATCTTCCATGCACTTGGAAGATTTTTAATTACCAAGAAGACTATTTGAAGCTTTGATCAACATAAAACTAATCTAAAACCACTGAAATTCTTGCTTAAGCCTTAGTGATCATTTTAAGCTATCTCTCATACTTACTGGATAGCAGAGTGTATACTTACTGGCAGTTTTAGAGAGGTTCTATAGAAGGTACAAATTGACGTTTTATTTTATTTTATTTTATTTTTGCAAAGACTTATATTTGAGTCATGGAAGAGCAGAAATGGGAAAATGAATGTTGGTTGTCATTGCATCTACTCAGTGCCTACACAGGTTTTTTGTGTTGGCACTGATCAGAGGTACTTATCCATGAGATGGCTGGTCTGTTCCCCTAAGGTTACTTTACTGGCACATGCTTGCCTTAGAAGACAGAGACAATCTAAGGATGGACACACGGGAGACAGTCTCACAGCTAGAAGTCAGGCTGTGGAAGATAGACTGTTGTCAATCCCAGGCAATTACAAGGAGTAAAAGGAGAGTGGCACGTGCCTTGGAAACCACAATTCATTCCAAATAACAGAAAAAAAAAGTGTTCTTAAATGATATGACTCTTAATGAAATCTCATTCATAAGACCCAGCTACCTCAATTTCTATTTTTCAGCGACTTCCCTGGCACGTTAGTTTGATCCACTTTGGTGTCTTACAGAAATGAGTCACCATATTTACTCCAGTTAAAAATAGAGACACTCTTGTTGAAACGAGAAGAGAGAATCCAAAGCTCTACCCCCTTAGTTGCTCTTTCCTCATCCCTTTGACAATTCCTTGCACCCTAGAGCACAGTTCAAAACCACTCGTTTATACAACCCCTAAAATACAACAGAATGGAATTTGAGGAAAGTATTTGGAGCTTCTACCAGGGGAGTCTGGAGAACTTTATTTCAGGGTTTCTTTGTATAAAAATTATACATTTTATCTGTCATAGCAGAGACCCTAAGTTACTCTGGTCAGGTGGTGAATATGATAAACATTTGGGCAGTACATGGTAGCCTACCCAGCATTTTAAAATCCTTTACCTAAATTCACCTTCAGATCAATCAAATAACATGAACAATATTAGTTCCACTTCACAAAGGAGGAAATTAAGGCACAGAGAGCTTGACCTGTATATAAGCAAGTAGCAAATTTGGGATTGGAACAAGGCTTCTTACTCATACTTAGGCCAGTCTCTTTTCCACCATGGTATATTGTCTCTGAAAGTAAATATCTCAATGTTTTATATTTGGAGAAGTGATGTTAGTGAATATTTTCATGAGACTGGTCTGTTGGGTTGTCCCTGGGTAAAATTATGAAGCAGAAGTTGATCTTTGGGCCCCTTTAATTCTTTGTATTAGTATCTTCAGCAGAGCCTACTCCCTTTAGGTGCCTGGTGTTTCCATGATAGGCTGAATACTGCCTGGAATTAGGACAACTGTCCATCATTTGGGATTTAGTGATTTAAATCTCTTTCTTGGATTGTTTACATGTTAACAGAAAATCCCTGGCTAGGAAACTTTCTAATGGAGCAGAAGGGGACACCTAGATGAATGGCATTTTTGGAGATCCTCAAATCAACATGATTTTGCATAATGCTACATACGGTAAAAATAAAGAATTATCCTGATGTTATTACCATGTTACTAATTAATTTGACGCATTGCTCCAATGAGAAATTTTGCACTGCAAAGTGAGAGATTTGAATGTGCTCATAATTGTTTGCTGTTGTCTTTGCAGGAGTTGTGTTTCACTATAGGGCAGCGACCAGCAGGTATACCCTGAATTTTGAGATGGCTCAGAAGGCTTGCGTGGATGTTGGGGCAGTCATAGCAACCCCGGAACAGCTCTTTGCCGCCTATGAAGATGGATTTGAACAGTGTGATGCAGGCTGGCTGTCTGATCAGACTGTTAGGTGAGAGTTCTGGGGCCATAGGCTTGAGCTCATTAATTTGGGAGTGAGAAGAAAGTGCCACTTATTAGCCATTTATTTCCTTAGATATCCCATTCGGGCTCCCCGAGAAGGCTGTTATGGAGATATGATGGGGAAGGAAGGAGTCAGGACCTATGGATTCCGTTCTCCTCGGGAAACTTATGATGTGTATTGTTATGTGGATCATCTGGATGGTAAGATGTTTAAGCCTCTATAGCTTCATTTGAAGGAAGAAAATTGGGGAAAGACTAGAAGTGCATTGGAATAGAGCACGTCTTCATGCTTGTTTGGATTCCGAATGACAACATTTTGTTTAAATGACCGTATGATTTTGTGGCAAAATAAGCTTAAATTAAAGTGGAAAGAGAAGGAGGAGTGTGTAAATGGTTATGCAGGTTAGAAATGTCTTTAGTTAATGGCAGGTTTTCTTATAGTCATGCTGCTCTTGGACTGTTTCCAATACATTTTTAGAGCATTAAGAATAGAAAGCTGTAAGGGTGGTACCTATTCTGGTGAGAACTTCAGGTAAAAATCCTGTGATGACAAACCACTGTGAATCCAAGTACTGATAAACATCCCAAAGCTCAAATAAATAACTTTGTAAACTAGCCCAGCAGGGATTTTTAACTTTCTCTTCCTGTTTACTTTGTTACACTTGTATTCAGAGCAATCATTCATTCATTGAACCAATCAATGCATTAAATTCCTTAAACCCATCAACACAAAAAACACCTACTGTGTGATAGGTACCCTGCTATCGTTAGGGATCTGAAGCCAGTCAAGATATAGCCCGTGCTTTTAACTCGCTTAGAGTTTGATTGATTTTTTGGCACTATCATTTCTCCTCTGCCTGATTTAGAGATTCTTCAAAACAAGTTTGAGTTCAATAATGCCAATATTATCTAAAGGGCACAATGCAGTTTTATTATAAAGGCACATGGGTAGAAATTTTCTATGATTTTTGGAATGGATTTTCATTCATATTAACAGGAATTTTAGAAGCCTAAATGTATAAATAGTAGTATAAAATTGAATTACACTTTTAATTTTGGCTGTATACACATAAAAAGAATGATAATTTTCTTGTGTAAAATTAGGAGATTAGAACAGATGATTTTAATGGTTTCTTTCAACATTAAAATTTTGTGATTCCATGATTCTATGAATTGAATAAATAACCGCTGTTGAGAGCTGACCCCTCAGTCTGCTCAGAGAGCCCTAATCAGTGTTTGGGAACTGGGCTCTGTCATTTGATGATATATGCATAGTCCACAATGAGGGAGGATTTATTAGTCTTTCAGAAGTCCTTTCCCACCTCCATAAGCATAGTCATTTCTAAGGCAAATGTTATGTTTTTGCCCCATTGTAACTCAACTGGATTTTATAAAATTCCTTGGGATAAATGTTCCACATATTCGATGACTGAAAACTTGTAATGTGGAATACAGCATAACTTTAGTTCATGTATTTATACCAAGTCAATAGAATTTGAGCTTTTTAGTTTTAGAATGTAAAAGTTGGAAGACAAAGATAAAAGAATCAGTACAAACACTAATTCAAGCACTGGCTGAAATTTGTGTCAGCGAAGTAACAAGGCTTTTATTTGTTTCATAAAGGAAACTTGACAATTTGGAGAATATGCAGCACGTTTACAATGGCATTGTTCTTGAAATTTTGTACTCCTTGTTTGTTGGCCCTTGGAATAATTAGCAAATCTTTGGACACTGTTCTTTTCTCTCTTGACTTGAAATTGAAGTGGGATGGGGGTTAAAGAGAACTTTCATGGCTGATGATGTGAGAGGAAGATCACAAGATTGTTCTTGTAAAGTTTCTCTCATTTCTTTACTGAAGTATATGTCTTCTCTTTGAAGTAAAGACCATTGGCTAATCTGTGAATTGACAAAAATTCTTTTGGAAAGTTGACTACATAAAATTATTAATACATCTGGTATTTCAATTGCCACGTTGATAAAAGATTATTTGAAGATGAGCCAAAATTCTTCCTAAGAGACTTTGCCATATTCATGAGTGTAAAAATTCCCACCTATATTTTATTGTATTTTTGGGGAGCCAAGTGTGTGTGTATGAGAAATGATGGGAGCAGTGAAAATTGGAGATATTGATGTACTCAGAATGCACATGATGGAACATATGCACAGGAGTCATGAGCCAAGGCACAATTACTTTAGGTCAGAAGTCATATATTCCAGATGATCTGATGAAAAATATCCATTAAGTATAAAATGAAGGCTTGTTCAAAAAGGCAATTAATTTTGTTTTAATTTAATTATTGATCATGAAAGATATTTAGTTGATGATGTCAACCTTCTATTTTTTTCTCCTTTCTTGTTTTATGATGTCATATTTATTTTGACATATGTATTTTTCTACAAAATTTAAATGTTTATACTAAGTTAAATCCTGCTGGGTTTGGGGGGGAAAATGAAACTGGTTCTTTTTCTATGGTGGCTATTATAACAGTTATGCATATTCAATGAATGTTTAATAGAATATTCAATTCTATTTTAAAAAATAAACTAGTAGGTGTAAAAGAGCAATTACATTAGCTATATCCACTAGTAAGCATTTCAGTATCACCTTGTGTTCTTAGAAATGGTCTAGAAGGTATGAAGGCTTATTAGACATGATTCAGTAATAGAGCACTGTTATTAAGAAATTAATGGAATGAAGATTTTAAAATAGGAATCTAGAAATTAGATCCATAAAATAACCCTTATTAGGAAATTTAATATTTGTTTCCCGGTAAAATAGATTTGGAAAATGTTGAGAGGGTTTGAAAGTAGGGTTGAGTTGATTAAATGATTTAGAAAATTGGGTAAAGGATTGGAATTATTTAGGAAGGGTAAAGACAAGGCTGAGAGAGGACTCTTGGAAAGCAGTTAAGTTCCTCATAATTAAGAATAGGAAGGACCTCACTGAGTCCCAGTTTTGCCATTTGCTAGTGGTTAGATCCTGGGCAAGGTTTTACTTCTCTAAGCTTCAATTTCTTCTATGAAATGGGAACAATAAAAATACTTACTTTTTCATTATGGTATAAAGATTGAATGAAATAATATGTAAAGCTTTTATCACAGTGTGTGGCACAAAGTAAGTGCTTAATAAATAATGGCTCTTGTTATATAGCTTAGGAGAGGTGTTTTATTTCCAATGAATTCATAACAAGAAGAAAGGAGTTAAAATTGCAAGTCTAAATGAAGTTCAATATAAGAAAAACTTTTCTTATAGTGAATACTGTTAAATGTAGAAAGGACCCTGAAAGGCTGTAAAATTTCTTCTCTAGAGGTTTCTTTAAAATAGAATTGATTTGAGCTACTACAAGTACAATGCTGTATCAAAAGTCTGTTTGAGTCACAGTACTTTGAAGAATATAGAGAAGATCTGGAAATGGGCCACTTCATGAAGAAGGGTCATTTTGAATATGATAAATAGCTACATGCTTGAGCATTATTGAATAATTAAAAATAACACTGTGACAAAATAGAATTCCTATACTATCCCTCCTCAATTGTTTGAAATAAGTTTATTCTCTGATTAGAACATTATCTTCCTAAATCAAATGTGTCCACTTTGCCACTGGAGGATTTAAATACTTATGAAAGTGCTTTGTGAGTTATTGCATTTCTATGCTGAAAACAGGCAGTTTATTAGGGAGTATGTTTGTTCAGCTATATCTATAGCAAGAAATAATTCCTAAATAGATAAGAATGTGTTGGGAAAAAATTGAGTACAATGTAAATATTTCAGCCAAAAAAAACAAGAAAAACACTCAAACTTTCTAGGAATCTTCAATTCTTTTTTAATGAAATTAATAGAGTGACTATTTGGTTTCATCATGGTAGCAGGTACATGTAAGAAAAATTTCTGTTTTATAGACATTTAATTCTCCCCACAGATAAATGAGAGTGTGGCAGATGAAGTCAGACTGCCTTCTTTCATGGTTGACCCATTTAGTTCCCTTGCAAATGAGTCAGTACTTCCAGTCTTGTCCCCAGACCTGACAAATGATTAGTCCAGGAGCTCCTTGCCCCTCTGAGTTAGGCAACTTTGGGTACCTACATCCTATCATCCTAAGGCCTATATTTTCCAGGTGGCTCTGCCTTTTGGCTTTTACTTCACCTGGAGTAACTACCACCTGACTATTCCAATTCCTCAGCTCTTACACGAGCCCCTCAGCCCTCTGACAGGCCTGTACTGTAGACTCTCTCATCTCATATCTCCTCCCTAAGTCCTCATTGAACTTTCTCACCTTTACCATCTCTGAACCTTTGACTATATGACTATTATTACCCTCCTGCAAATATCTGCTTTCACTTCCCTCTCTTCTACTAGACTGTGGATTCTGGGAGAGGAGGAACTATACAAATTCATTTTTGTATCCCCAATATGTCCTTGTACATAGTAGGTGCTCCATAGGTGGAGCTGAATAAATGAATGAATTAATGAATTACTGTCCAAACTCCAAGTGCCCACCCTACTCACCGTGCCTTACACTTGCTTCTTGGTATTAGCTTCACAGGTCTCCAGCCCTTATCAGTATTCCATCTGCTTCCTGATTTTTCATTGCTTTAATTTCCTTATAATTTTATTTAATTTCATTTTTGTTCACTTGCATGTAAATTGTAAGCCAAATGTCTTATGGGATGAATGGGACACAAAAGAACCCAGAAAGAACAAATACATGGAAAATGAAAGTGTTAATTTCTACTTTTGCATGTCTAGCCCTGGAATTCTCTTCTGAATCCCATACTCATATTTCTAGTTTGTGAACATTTTTGTGTTTTATCTCTTCTTTTAATTCTCATGAATAGCCCCCATGCCTTTAACAGTTTTTCAAGGGACCTGTTTTACAACCATCAAAGCACTTACACACATTGCTATGTAACTCCCCTATTCAGCATTGTGTGTTGAATTTTTTTGTTGGCTTCATCCACAAGCACATACTCTGCCTGGTCTTCAACGCCCATAAAACCTGGTCCACTGTAACCTATTCCACCTCGTTTCCCTCACTCTCCAACATGACCACACACACGTGTGCCCGGCCCTTCCCGGACCCTGTGCGCACCCTGCCTGCACTCTGCTCCGTGCCTCTCAGGGAACATACACCCTTCGTCTTTCCAACATTCTGATTTTTCCTGTGCTCAAAAACTTACTGCTTTCAGGATTCCTTCTTTGG